AGATAGTAAGAGTACTCCACAGAAGTGCTTGTATATGAACCGGTAGAACCATGTACAAAAATTCCCACCTTAGTTTCCTTCATTGAAGTCAATCGAGGCCGCTTCAATGAAAAAGATCACCGTAATAAGGCCGTCATGGCTGGAGTTCATGTAAAGCACTCCAACATTCTTAAAACCTTCATTATTGACTGGATGTACACATCGGTATTAAGGCCTGTAATTGTCCGCTGGAATTATTAATATTTTTATATTGTTTTGTCTGTTTGTCTGTTGATTTTAATTTACCCTCTTGACACTATGATACCACTAAGAAGGCATTATTTGGCCTCGAAATATTCATAATGCCATCACCAATTACAGCTTACGCCTAAAAGAGCCTCGACCAAGAACTGCCAATCCAACTCCGCTCCTGAGTTTACTGGTCACCACCAAAATCTTAAACAAGTTTTATTTGGTACTCCACCATGTATCAATGAAATTATTTGATTTCAAATTAACAAAATGTATGAGATTTCAATCGAAATCTCTTAACTACCTAATTTCATTTGGTCAGAATGGGCTATAAACGAAATTTTATTTATGTGTATTGTTTATTATTTCACTATGTATTTGTTATTTTACGAAATGTGAAACCTCATGTGATTTACCCAAAAAATTCTTGAAAAACATTCCATTCAATTGTTTATGTTATGCTAAAGCCAAAAATATATAACAATATGAATAAATTATAAACAAAGATTTGAATTTCTCAACAATTGAGTGAAAACCATTGCACTCATTTCCAAAAAAAAAAAAAAAACACTCATTACATAAAACAACATAATGAGAGTAAGAAAAAGCAAATTCTCTTCAAGTCTCACTTCATATGATATTTACCGGGTTGAGTGGGTGTTTGTACCGGAAATGCACTTAAATTGTTGTATGTGTGAGCATGAACTCTAACCGTTATAAACTAAAGTAATTTGATTGTATGTGCGTAAGAGCCTGTGTATGTTTGTATGTATACGTAAGTATGTACGAAAAAAAAAATAGTTACATTGACAGGAAGTAACCTTGAACTACTTTTGGGCATGTTGAAATATGTTGTTATATTATTTTCCTCATTTTCTTATTTCCTTTTTTTTTTGGATACAAACCTAGTGTATACACATCTATAGATGTATTTGTGTAAAATTTATTTAAACTATGCAAGTGGTATGAATGTGGATTTCTTTGTACTTTTTACGTATGTATATAATTCTACGTCAATTTTGACATTTGTTGTATATTGTTTTATTTTTGGAAAAAATGACAACAAGGTTTTCTATTTTGTGTTGCATATAAACAAACATACATGGATCGGCAATGAACTTTAATGAGTTTTTCTTTAATATTCAAAATAGATCAAAAGCTTAAGTGTCTTTCTAGGACCCAAGGCACTTTTGATTGACCATCAAGTAAGATTAGGCAACTTTGTAATTTTTTAAACATACCTATTTTGTCGAAATGTTCTTTTATAATTTTGACATATTTAGATGAGATTGTGTAAGTTTGCATTGAATGTGCGTGTAAATGCAAGAGTGACAATATCATTAAATAAATTGATTTCAGTATTTTGTATTTTATACTCCAATGAATCGAATGCAAACGGATGACATTGTCATGCAGAAAATGTTCTTGACATTCTTTTTGCAGAAATCGAATTGTATTGCAATTATTTTACAATGTAATGCCATTAACGTTTTGTGGCAGCTTAACTCATTTCACTTACATTGAAAGTGTATGTAAAACGGCTTAAGCTGATTTAGGTTTTTCTATAAAATAACCAATTCCCAATGTAGTCATGACAACAGAGTCTAAATATAGTAATTACTTAAATATTTTCATTTGGCTTAAGACCAAACACTATTTTAATTGAAAACAGTACGCTCGAATATAGTTTTGGTCAATAATGGATTATAGCCCCCATACAAAATCGACTTCCGCGATTGCAGTGTAATCATTATATTACATCAAACATTTTTTAAAAGTTTAGGATATCAAATTGTCGGGAAAGATGTCGTAGTGCTTTACGTGATCACCTGCCTTGAAGGCCTAATTTTATGGTGGTCTTTTTCATCCACAGGGTGAGCTTTTTTGACCATCACTGTCCCGTTGCTTAACTTCCGAGATGCAGATGGTAAGGCCTTTACTGGGTCGACAATAGCACCTAGCACAGTGAACACACTGTAGTAAATCTAAAATAATCATTCAACCTAGCACACTTCTCATTCATTCGACACACTCATTCTAGGTATACGGGTGGGTAAGGTCCGCATACCCCTCCCCATCCATCCCGTATCAACTACACTTGACATCAATATATTTCAACGCTCAGTCACGTCTTTGCGTGGTATCTGTTGTCTTGGCAACAGCATCTAATTTATCACGAATTATATACTTTAGCTTTAGGAGAGGACAGTGAAATTCTGGAGCACTTTCTTTGCCACTGCCACGGAATAACATTCCTGACTAACACTGATTGGTAAAGCGAATGATTAGAGGCCTTAGGGTCGAAACGATCTTAACCTATTCTCAAACTTTAAATGGGTAAGAACCTCACCTTTCTTGGTATGAAGGTTGTGGTTGTGATATAATGTGCCCAGTGGGCCACTTTTGGTAAGCAGAACTGGCGCTGTGGGATGAACCAAACGTAATGTTACGGTGCCCAAATTATACTTTAGCTTTAGGAGAGGACACTGATTGGAATTTCGTTCAGGAAACTGAGTTTATGAACACTGAAAAATAATGCATTCAGTTCCTTTTTTTTCATGATCAGGAGCTTCGGATTTGATGTAGTATACATCCTCCTATCAACCTACCTACCTACCTACCTACCTATACTTTAGCTTGCATCAGTCTTTCAACCAACATTCTCTTCCCGCGAATTTGGTTTAAACGCAGCCACCACGTGCAGCCCGAAGCGACCTCTCCAACAACCGAGACAAGACAAAGTCCGATACTCTGCCCTGTGGGCTACCGGTTCCCGAGGTACTAGATTATGTGGTTCGACCTCATGTCAAATAATTTCAAGGAAAGACCGAGGGTACATTTGATCATCACTAGTTTATAGTACTGGCGGACTAGAAGTACTGATAGCACCTCTTTTACCCGGGATTACGCGAACTCCTGCCGTGTTCGCCTTATTTCACGGTGGTTCATTTTCAACCACTTGGTGAGAAGTCTAGAGGACACACAACACCCCTTTATGTTCTTTACACGCCTGTGGCAATCTTTGTACTTGGTTCTGCCGGTCCATGCTCAAGTACTCGAGCTATTTAACTTTTGTAATTTATATTCGGTCTTGGATGAGGTATGTCAACAAGTTGAATTGCCATATATGAGATGTCGGCAACCGACATGAGGATCAGCAACAAAGATGAAGATCAACGTCACAATGGGCATTATGAATGAATGATTAGGTGATAAGGGTACCTTTTGCCAAGGAGACGTGAAAAGATATTGAAATTGGAAACTGCTATGTTTTTTGTTGTAGAGTTTTGTAAAGGGCTACGTCAATAATTAGACAGAATAGGCAAGATACCTTACACTCTGACGATGTCCCCGACTACTTTTGCGTTGCAAATTTGTTTCAATAACCCAAATATTGGTATTGGACTTGTTCCAATAACCCAAATTAACGAAAAAATCAAGAACTACACGCTGAAACTAATAGGCTCGTTGAACTCATTAGAATTAGCGTCACTAACTGCTTATGGCAAGAACTTGAGACACAAACGTACCTATTAATTATAAAAGTATGATGAAATTTTAACTACTGTTGTTGTGAAGTTCAGATAGAGCAGCGCCTATGATAACACTAAATCAATATCATAGATGTTGAAAAAATTTTGGGTAAAACTATTACGGAAAGTCGGCTGCTTTAGTTTGAGAAAATCCAGTGGGAGCTAGTTGATGAATTTGCTGCACATACAGATCTTCTTTTCAACAACGGTAAAAATGAAGGCCTCTATTTTAAATAAGGAACAGAAGACGGGACGATTGAGCGATAATGTACAAGGAACAACAAATAGGTAAATGTCTATAGATCAGAATCCATCTTAGGCAAATTTTTTTAATGGATATAATAAGTGATTTGTTTAGCACGATTTCAAAAAGAGGAGCAAGATATAAAAAATACTGTGGATCTAAACTATTGTAAAGAATCTGATTGTTAGTTAATTGTGAAGAAACGGATACACAATTTTGATCCTAAAACATCTTGTAATATCCCTGATATTCTAAAATAATACATATACATATATTGCAACATTTAACACCCTCCTCCCTTTTACATATTAAAAAGTTGTTAAAAACTTATAATGATTCCTTTCCTTAAGATATGAAAACAAGAACAAAAACAAAAACAACAAGTAAAACCAAACTAAATATAACATTTCCGTTAAACTTAGGGTTGATTATTCTGAGACAATTATTACTTCATATTCATACATTACAAATATTTATTTCTTTTTTTTTTCTTACACTCTTCCTTTGTTTGTAGTTGTAGTATTTTGGTAAAATAACAAAAGCAAAACAAAAAAAAAATCCAATGACAGACAGGCAGCCTGTTAAGTATACAACAACCATGTAACAAGGACAACAGTTTTTGTGCTTCTTCTTTTATTTACAACTATTTAAAGGACTCTCTTTTCTTATGACTCTCTATCTCTTATACATACTCTCGTTGGGTACTAAGTGGAGTGTATTTTAGGTAAAAGAGATTTGCTGTTTCAAAAGTGGGGGTGTAATGTGGGAGAAAATAAACAGGCTACTTGAGTGTGTTCTTTGCCAAAGGACAAGAACAGACAAACAAAAAAGAAGCTAAAATAAATAATAAAAAATTGAGAAGAAAAAAACAATTCAAGGGAATACTTAAAGAAATATTTACGTACATACAGACGTAAATAAGTTAAAATATGTTAGTGTGGAGAATGTTTTTTTTGCGTACGTTATGAAAGTTATTTATTTAATAAACTTACCCAAATTATTTTAAGTTTAATCTGGTTTAATTCCACGTTTAAATTATTAATTAAATTATTGTTGTTGTTATTGAGTAAAATACACAAAATTTACATCACGTTTTTATTATTGGCTGTCAGTGTTTATAATTTTGTTTTGTTGTTGTTTTTCGCTAAAAACTATTTAAAGAAGAACAAACGAAAAGCAAAAAGTAAAACACTTTAACCGAAGAAAAAAAAATTATGAAATTTTCACTTATTTTTATAATTTTAATATGTATGTATATAATATGTTTGTATGTGTGTGTTAGGTATTTTCTTTTTGATTTTATTTTCGATTTTTTTATAATTTTTATTAGAGCAGACAGAACTAATAGTACTCTATATGCCGCAATATAAACAAAGTCCCATAAACAGGGGAAGAACATTTCACCTGAAATGTATGTATTTGTGTGAAGATTATAAATTGTTTTTGTAGTTTTTTTTAAATACACAAGCAATATGAGTAACCGCACAGAGATGTAAAATATAAATTACAATTTGTTGATAGATTTATGATCTATCGATCTCTATAACAATTGTTTTATACAACAACTTCGAAAAAGGCATTAGCAATGCCAATACATGTATTGGTGAGACCTTCTATATCAATCCTTATTTCTTTAGGTCTGAATTTACCCACAGTTTGAACACAATAAACGATTTGAGTGTTAGACATCTAGATTTTGTGACTCTAAAGAATACATCTAGGACTCTATCGGACCTGTTGTGCTCTCCTTTACCAGTGCCTCAGGTGGGAATTGAACCCACCACTTCAGGTCTACCAGACTAGAACACTAACCACTAACCTATCGGAGGCCACTATCATAAAATAACTCATCAAAGTAAATAATATAAGGAAGGAGACACTCAAGCATTTTGAGGGTCAGCTTCTTTGACACACTCCGTTTTTGGGGAGAACCTTTAAGATCCTATTTACCTCTTGTTAAGGCCAATGATGTTTATTCAAAATTGTAATTATTATCTTCGAAAATCTCGGGAAATTTTGATTTAATTCAATAATTTAAAAAAGTCTTGCAGAAGACCACTTATAATGAATGTGTTCCTACGATTTCTACTTGCATGAGATAATTTGGACGGTTCGGAAGTAGCAATTTGATACGGAAAATAAAACTAAAATTAGTGACATTAATTCATAAAGGCTTTCAACAAGACCTTGCAAAATCATTAGGAACTACTCAATCAGAATGTTTGCGAGAAGTCTAGAGAACTTGAAAGACGATTTTTCCGAAATGCTGTTTGAACGCTTTAGAAGAAAACCTTTTTCGAAACAAATTATTATTTGCGACAAAAAATGCTTCCATTACAATGACCTTAAGTGTAAGAGGTCCAATAACTATGGCGCTAAGGTAATGGCGGGATCAAAAGGGTCCTATCTATTATGAGCTGCTGAAATCTGGCCAGACCATCATAGGAAATCTGTACCGACCTTAAGCGTGAGAAGTCAAATATATATGGAACTAAGGTAATAGCGGGATTAAAAGGCTGCTATGTAATATGAGCTGCTGAAATCTGACCAAAGCTGTACCGATTACAAACGATTTGTTTGAAGCGACAATTGGTCGAAAAACATCCAGAATATACGACCAGTTCGGGAGCCATATCTTCAACAATTCTGTCAGATAAGCTTTTGAGAAATTTCCTAATAAAAATCAGCAAAATCGTTCCATAAATAAGTGAGATATGAGCCGAAATCTGAAATAGATTCTGAAAATTTCATCAAAAACTTGATTCTTTTGTGCATGCTTAGACAAAACGATATAACAACAACAACATACAGCTTCATAGGGTAAATGTTGTTTTTGTTTATAATGCTGTGTGTTGTTATTGTTTTGATTATGCCAAAATCAGGGATGGAAAATTGTGTGTGTGTTTAATTAAGCAGGGATGGGGAAAATAAAAAAAATGTAAATGTATTCTATAATATTGAACCTAGAAACATGAAATTAAGCATGACCCTGCAAAATTTGAGACTCTTTCGCACACGGGTGTAAAGAGTACTCCTCAAAGGACTAGGACTGGTCCAAAACTAATCCAAATATATGGAAAAAACATACTCCATTTAACATTGTGATGTCCTAGGTGAGGACTACGTAATCCACCCTTTCATTACAACGGAGTACTTAACACCAGTGCTAAAACTATGGGAGTACATGATCCGCAACATAGTTTTTGGATTACCTAAAAGGATCATGTACTGCAAAAATTTTTGCAGGGTAGAGCCCGGAGCATATCAAAAACAGTAGATATGCAAAGATATCTGTCAAAGATCCAACTAGATTATAAACTTCTTGATAACAAGTAGGAATGTATAGTCAGGCATAGCCGACTATATGATATCCTACACCATGAGTATATTTTAAAAATTATTTTTCATAAAGAAACTTTTATGTTGAATTTTACTTTAATTCCGATGTATTTAAGCAATTTATTGATGAAAAATTAAATTTCTAAAAGAGGCTTTATATGGAAGTTAGGGTCAAATATGGGTCGATCCTCAACAAATTGGAAGAAGGGATGTATTTTTACATAAAGGTTAGTTATGCTGAATATCATCGCTATACTAATGGTTATATGCCAATTTTTGAACGTTTAAGTTATTTTTTAGAGGGGGTTTGTATGGGGGCTAGGGTCAAACGACGGCCGATCATTATAATAATCGGCATGGTTATTTATGCCTATATAAAACTTAGTTATGTCAATTTTTGGAGAGATAGTTGTATATTTGACATAGTTATGAGTTAAAAACCCCAAATCGGAAGGTCAGGTTGTATGGGGACTAGGTGAAATAATGGACCGATTGTGCCCTTGTGCCGAAAAACACGTATGGTCCAAATTTTATCAAAATATCTTGAAAATTGTGACCTGTAGCTTGCATGAACAGCCAGCCGGACAGACGGACGGACGGACATGTATTATTCGACTCAGAAATTGATTCCGAGTCTATCGGTATACTTTAAGGTGGGTGTAGGACCAATATTTTTGTGCATTACAAACATCATTTCGTTTTAGATCTGATAATAATATTCTATATACAAAATAAATTTTTAATTGACTTGTTATTAATTGTAAAGATTTCTTTTGAATACATTTGCAAATATATAGCATACATACTAAATGTTTACGTTTCACTGGTCACGGCACTAGTGATTTAAAAAAATTTACACAAATTGCTGCAGGGGATATGGGTTTTGTACTTTTTTCATTGCAATGGGGTGAAAAATGACAATTGTATTATTATTTTTTTGCATATCTGATAGAACGTGTATGCGGTTTTTTTCGTTTTGAAATTATTAAAACCAATTTAATTTTGTTGCTATTTTTGATGTTTATTGTTTTATTCCGTTTTATACTCAATATTCACTTGTTTCGTATTATTTGAATTGGGGTTTGGTGGAGCTAAGGAACAGATATTAACAGCACTATGTTTGCCTGCTGTCTGCCAAATAGATCGAACAAACGACTCACAGACAGACAGACATACCGCCAGGCAGAGCCAAACATTAATTTAGACCATTTGTCAGTCAGCCAAACTAACAAAACCAACAACGAACAAGAAGCATAATTTTCTTTTTTGTATTTTCTTTATTCTTTTTGTTGGGTGTTTTTATTTTTAGAATGTTTTTGTATGGTTAAAAAAGGTAAAATTTTTCTTAATTTTGTTTTCTCTATTTCTTTTTTTGTGATTTTTTTTTTCCTTTTTCTTAACAACATCATCGTCAGCAGCTATCTTTAGGTTGTTATTATTGGCCAATTGGGAAATTAAATAAATTATATTGTATTAATTCCATAAGTATTAACAATTTCCAACTTTGATTTTCACTAACTCTTTAACACTTTAAAAACTAAGAAAGTCCATTAATTTAGCTGCTGCCCGTTTGCCTAATTTTATTTAAATCAGATGTTTTTACTCTTTTTACTTAATTTTTTTTATCTAAATAATTTTTACTTATACACAACATCATTATCATCATAATCTTCATACATTTATATATATATATATTTTTAGTTGGGTGTATTGTGCAGCCCGTTTTTCAAAATACCACCACCACTTTTTATTCGTTTTTGTTATTATTTGAAATTTTCACTTTTATTTTTCTTTAGATCCCGTCCGTTCTCGTCTCAATGAGTTTGACAACTAAATTCCAATTCGAATTATTTTCCTGATGACGGCTGCATTTTGCCGAAACTTTTTTTTCCACTTTTGAGTGAAAATATTGACGCGCCGCACCAAGAGAGAAGAGCATACATTTAGCAGGGGATTTAGAATCGAAAAAGAAGAGGAAACATAAATCTGTTATTTGAGTTGGCAACATTGTATTGCTGAGAGTGGCGGTATATTTTGCGCATGTCAGCAAAAATATATATGACAGCTAGACATTTGCTACAAGTACTTTGTTTACATTTTATTTAATCTAGAGAACACAGGGTGTGAAATATGATGATGTTGAAGTAAAAAAACCGTTACAGTTAAAACATGGAAATTAAAAAAATAATTTTAAATTCCATTTTAATTTGTTTTGTGTAAATGATCAAATATACACCAAGGTGTAGGAGTAAATAGATACCTATCTGTCGTATTTATACCCTACACCACTTTAGTGGGGAGGGTATATTGGGTTTGTGCTGATGTTTGTAACGCACAATAATATTGGTCCTATACCCACCTTAAAGTATACCAATCGGCTCAGAATCATTTTCTGAGTCGATTTAGCTATGTCCGTCCGTCTGTCCGTCCGTCTGTCCGTCCGTCTGTCCGTCTGTCCGTCCGTCCATGTAAACCTTGTAATCAAACTACAGGTCGCAATTTTGAAGATAATTCAATGAAATTTGGTACATGACCTTCTATTGTACCAGGGACGAAGCCTATTGAAAATGGTTACCATCGGTCCATTATTTCACCTAGCCCCCATACAACTGAACCCCTCGAATAGGGCTTTTAAAACTTGTAATCAAACTACAGGTCGCAATTTTGGAGATAATTCAATGAAATTTGGCACATGATCTTTTATGGTACCGTAGACGAAGCCTATTGAAAATGGTTACCATCGGTCCATTATTTCACCTAGCCCCCATACAACTGAACCCCCGAAAAGGGCTTTTAAAACTTGTAATCAAACTACAGGTCGCATTTTTGGAGATAATTCAATGAAATTTGGCACATGATCTTTTATGGTACCGTAGACGAAGCCTATTGAAAATGGTTACCATCGGTCCATTATTTCACCTAGCCCCCATACAACTGAACCCCCGAAAAGGGCTTTTAAAACTTGTAATCAAACTACAGGTCGCAATTTTGGAGATAATTCAATGAAATTTGGCACATGATCTTTTATGGTACCGTAGACGAAGCCTATTGAAAATGGTTACCATCGGTCCATTATTTCACCTAGCCCCCATACAACTGACCCCCGAATAGGGCTTTTAAAACTTGTAATCAAACTACAGGTCGCAATTTTGGAGATAATTCAATGAAATTTGGCACATGATCTTTTATGGTACCGTAGATGAAGCCTGTTGAAAATGATTACCATCGGTCCATTATTTCACCTAGCCCCCATACAACTGAACCCCCGAATAGGGCTTTTAAAATTTGTAATCAAACTACAGGTCGCAATTTTGGAGATAATTCAATGAAATTTGGCACATGATCTTTTATGGTACCGTAGACGAAGCCTATTGAAAATGGTTACCATCGGTCCATTATTTCACCTAGCCCCCATACAACTGAATCCGCCGAATAGGGCTTTTAAGTTCATAATTATGTTTAATATACTCATATCTCGACAAAAAGCTGCAATAACCAAGTTGTATACAAGACTTGATGACCCCCACGAATTCCATAATAATAGGTTCCCATATGACCCTAGCCCCTATGAAAAGCCCCCATCAAAATTTCACTTAAATGTCCACAATTTTATTCAACAATAAACGGCTTAAGTATGTATACCTAAGGCAAGGTACAATTCAACTTAAATGCTTTATTATGGCAACTAAATCACATTATATTTTTGTCAAAGGTGTAGGGTATTATATGGTCGGCCTCGCCCGACTATAATTTCTTACTTGTTTGTATACATGAAGTGAGTGAGCGAAAATTTCTTTAAGTACTTTGTTATCTTATCGGGAATGATCTGTTGTATGTACATATGTAGGTTTAAGTAAAAAGGGTAGCATCTCTATCAATCATTATTGGGTCTCATGGGTCCAGCTAGTCGCGTTCCCATTGTGAAGCCCTAATGATCGTAGGAGCCCATTTAAGTATTACTCACTACTTCCAGATTTAAACCAGCCGGTTTGATTCACAAAGTTTAGGATACTTTTAAGGCATATCCCAGATAGCTCATTCAAACAAGATAGAGCAGCTAAGCCGCAAAATTTTCTCGGCATTCATTGAAGGTTAGGTATTGTTTCCTCTTCTTCTACATTATGACAACTCTCACAGTAGTCGTTATATTCGAGACCTATTCTTCTAGCATGATTGCTAATTGCACAGTACCCCCTTATGACTAATACCAGCATTCTAATCTGCTACCTGTGAAAAATTAAAAATAAGCTTGACCTGGAAGCAAATTATAGAGGACCATTTTACCTCTAAGTGAGACAGGTGGTTTCGCTGAATCATCTGATTTGAGCCATTACATATAGAAAATTTAAAAATAACTTTTGAAGAAAGAAAAAATACCAAAAAGTCCCTTTAGGTTATCACCTAATACGGGCTCTACATACGGGCTTTCATATTTCTAGGTTCAATATTATAAAAAAATCAAAAAATACCAGTCAAAGAACGAAAAAGTACCAAAAAGTCGCCCTTTTAAAGATTCTAATTTATTTTATGTTTCAAAGTTTAACTTTATAGAAAACTCAAAAAGTACCAGTCGAAGTACTTTTTTTATATATTCCCATTTAATCCACATGCTTAATTTCATGTTTCTAGGTTTAGCTTAATAGGAAACTCAAAAAAGTACCAGTCGAAGTTCGAAAAGGTACCAAAAAGTTCAATTTAATAGATTAATTAAAAAAAGTACCAGTTGAACGACGAAAAAAATACCAAAAAGTCCCCTTTTAGATTCTCATTTACACCGGGCTTAATTTCATGTTTCTAGGTTTAATTTGAAAGAAAACTTAAAAAAAGTAATTTCTTTTTTCGATTTGAATATCAAAGAAAACTCAAAAAATTCCAGTAGAATGAGAAAAGTACCGAAAAAATATCACTTGGTATCGGAGTTCCAAATAATACACCATTAGTATATTTAGTATTTCTAAATTTAAAAATTGTATCTAAATTGGATTATTGTGTTGAAATAAAATCAAATTTCCCGTTTTTACTCATTTTGGTACTTTTTGCCTCAAATTTCCCGTTTTTACCTATTTTGGTACTTTTTGCCTCCCCATTAACGAAGTAAAAATGCAATTCCAAAATGATGCAACATCGTAGTTGGATCCCGTTATTATTTATTCATATATATTTATATGTATAACCAAAAACAATGTTTTATGAAAAAAGTACCAAAAATAGGTACAATTTTCACTTCTTAAACGTCAGAATATCCAAAATGTGCTAATTTTATTTTTTTCGTAAAGTTATGAAGAAGGAATAAATATTTGATGAGTGTTCACAGGTTTAAAATATACATGGGGTTATTCTCTAAATGTTCACATTAATGTCAAAGTTATTCAAGTAAAATTTGAAGATTCTAGATCTAATAGTTTCTCAGATATACAAATTTTTCTATTTAATTCATATGGGGGTTCCAAGACGCCCCCCCCCCAGATAAAAGTCCGCCCTGTTTTCTACAAAGTGTTCAGATGAATATTAAAGTTCTTAGTTCAAAATTTGAAGAATTTAGTTCTATTAGTTTCCCAGATAAACGAATTTTTGTATTTAATTTATATTATTACCCAAAATGTTTAAATGGATGTTAAAGTTATTTGTGCAAATTTTTAAGATTCTAACTGTAATAGTTTCCAAGATAAACGATTTTTTGTATTTAATTTATATGGGAGGTGCCACGCCAAAGGTGCATTGACGCTAAAGTGGCTCAAATATACGGATTTAATATTTTCTTAATATGGGCGTGGCTTCAAAATAAAAAGTAGCCTATTACCTATTCCAGATATATAGGAATACTCTGTGAAGGAAATCGGTTCAGCCGTTTAGTAGTCTATAACGTTCAAACATACGAACAAAAACACATTCATGTTTATATATATAGATATAGATCGAGGGTAAATTTTCTGTAAGAATCATATTTCATCTTATTGCAATAACTGATCGAATCGGAATTTTTGACACCCAATTCGAAAACATAGCAGAAAATTGTTTTGAACATATTGTACTGAGATCAAGATTTTCAATCGCAGGTAGGAAACTGTGGACCTTTTCAAAAAAAGTTTTTCTCATATTTAGTACATTGAAACAGTCAATTTAGTGTATTGAATTTAATTTCCATAGTAATAAAGTCCATCTAATGGAATTACGATTAGAATTTTCATAATCTCTGCAACTGTTTCGTTTTGAAGAAGTATTTTGAATAAAATTTTATTAGATTGTGTGGAAATTAACTAAAATTTTTCTAATTCAATTAACTTACTAAAAGTAATAAGTTTTAACATCAAAATGTTATCAAATGAAATATTGTTAATAGTTTTAGTTTAGTTTTAATTTGTACGCAATTTATAACAAGTAAGAAATTATAGTCGGGCGAGGCCGACCTTGGTTGAAGTAGTACACTAACACCAGTTATAACAAGTGAGAGTGTTATATTCGGCTGTGCCGAATCTCATATACCCACCATCAAGAGGACTTTTATGATCTAAAACCTCTCTACCAAATTTTATGTGGATCGGTCCATAACTGAACCTACCCCCCATATAGGGCCCCCTTCAGAAAATTACTTTAACTCTCATTACTGGCTTAAGAATAAAAGAAAATCCACCCACATAAGTTTCAATGGGGCTAAAATTTCTCTATCAAAGATTTATGTGGATCGGTCCATAGTTGACCCTACCCTCACATGAAACATTTGTGTGTCGAATTGCATCACTATACACGTATTTTTAAGCCAGTAATGAGCGTTATAACCATTTTCTGAAGGGGACCTTATATGAGGGGTAGGGTCAATTACGGACCGATCCTCTTAAAATTTGGTAGGGAGATTTTGGATCATATGAAACTTATTTGTGTCGAATATCATCGATATACTCGTATTTTTAAGCCAGTAATGAGCGTTAAAGTCATTTTCTGAAGGGGACTTCATATGGGGGTAGGGTCAAATATGGACCGATCCTCATAAAATTTGGTAGGGAGATTTTGGATCATATGAAACTTATTTGTGTCGAATATCCTCGATATACTCGTACTTTTAAAACAGATATGTCCGTTAAAGCTATTTTTCGGGAATTCACTATAGAGAATATTTGTGTAAAAATTTCAATCCTCTAGCTCTTTACGTGCTTTCAACAGACAGACAGACGGACGGATGGACAGACATGGCTAGATCGTCTTAGAATTTAATAAGGACCCAGAATATATATACTTTTGTGGGTCTAAAACCAATATTTCGATGTGTTAACGGAATGACAAAATCAATATAGCCCCCACCTTTTTGATGGTGAGTATAAAAATAAAATGTGATTTAGTTTTCATAATAAAGCATTTAAGTTGAATTGTACCTTAAATTAGATATACTTAAGCCATTTATTGTTGAATAAAATTGTGGACATTTAAGTCCTATTTTGAAAGGGGCTTTATATAGCGGCTAGGGTCAAATTTATCAGGGTCATCCAGACTAGTATAGAACTTGGTTTTGCAGCTTTTTGTCGAGATACGAGTATATTAAACATAATTATGTACTTAAAAGCCCTAAAAGACTTAAATATTTTAATACAGAAAATGATTATTTGTGTATGTTACGAACATCTGCGGATATCCAATAAAGCGGTGTAGGGAATTTAAAATGTTTATAAAACTATTCTTGCATCAGATAAGATTTAGTTAATAAAACTAATAGATGTCATTTAATTAAATTAGCAGTATTTATATGTATAGGTATCTAAATTTTGCACTAGATGGTAGACAAATTTAATAAAATTCTAATCAATTATAGTTTTCATATCAAACATTACAGTTGTAGAGTAGCGAATATGGAAAATATGCTAAAATATTTTCTAGTAATTATGGTGGTGCTATTTATGTGTATACCAACAGCAAATTGTAAACTTACAATTTCAAATGGAATTTATTCAAATGAAAATTTTGTGGAATATACTAAATTGGCTGTGTACATGGCTAAACGTTTCATAGGTCCCAAAACAAATACGCTGGTCATCAATGAGAAATGCGATGTTAATTGTCATGAGGAACAAAACTATCAGACGGAACTGCTAAATAGTATTCTATATAATTTAAAGGAAGAATTCGCCATACAGTTGTTTTTCGGCTTTTATAATGATCGATTATGGGATTATAATATATTTATAGTGGACTCGCATGAGTCATTTCTGTAAGTTGTCAACAAGGTGTTTACATTTGAAGAGAAAAAGTTATTATTTTACAAAGAAACGCAAGTGCTCCAGAATATTATTTCTAAAGTAGTACAAACTATTTCTATTTTTTTTTGCAGATATGTACGCTATAGCTTACCCACCACCTGGGAAGAGCGTTATTTCTACTTTTTCATTTTACTAACTTGGAGCACTAACAATGAAGTAGAACTCAATGAAACTCTTTACAAAATATTTAGTACAGCTTTGAGTTTGAGTGTCAGAAATGTGGTTATAATGAGTAAAGCCTTCAATGGAGATCACATCAGTTTCTACGCTTATGAACTCTTTAATAAAGATCATTGTCTAAATAAGATTATTGTGCGTGAAATTAATCGCTACGAAAATGGAACTCTACTGAATCAATTTTTATTTCCCGATCACATTAATGATTACCACGGTTGTGGGTTAAATGTATCGGCTCATAAAATGGCACCACTTTTAACTTTTAATGGCGATGTAAACAATGAAACACATTTAATGGAGATCAATCGCTTCAGTGGTATTGAAGGTGATATTTTGAAAGTAATAGCCAAATCTTTAAATTTTAAAATTAATTTAAAATTCCCAAAGGAAAGGAATATAATTAATTATATGTATAATTCGATGGGTTGTTTTGGAGATGTAAGTAACAGTTTCAACACAAGATTTAAATTATAATAAGTTAGTTAGTTAGTTAGTTAGTTTGAAAGGAGGATGTATATACATCAAATCCGAAGAAATACACCTAGGCCTCTATCGGGCCTGTTGTGTGCTCCTTAACCAGTGGCTCAGGTGGGAATCGAACCCACCATCTCCGGTCTACCAGACTAGAACAATAACCACTAACCTACCGGAGGCCACTATAATAAAAGATTAATTTAAAATGTGTTTCTGGATCAACTGCGTTGAAAATTAGAATAATAATTTCCTATATTTCCGAATATAACACTCTAACTTCTTACAATTATAATTTCAGCTGGATACAGGACGTTCCCAAATAGCCATTGGAGGTTTTAGCTCGACTTTGTGGAATAGCGCCAAGTATAGCAAATCTGTAATTTATCATACTACCCCATTTGTATTTGCGATTCGCAGTGGTGTATGTTTCGGTCCAATCAAGCAACTACTCAATCCTTTATGTCCCTCTATATGGACATTTCTACTGATTTTATTTTCTGCATCATTTATTTTTACCAAATTAATACAGACCAAACCAAAAGTACGTGACTTTGTATTTGGGCCGAATAATAAAAATCCAATATATTCAATGTTTGTAATATTTTTCGGCAACTCATTACCAACACGATTAATACCAAGACGAAATTTTGCTCGATTTCTTATGGCTGCCTGGCTACTGCTAACATTCGAAGTACGCAATGGTTATCAGGGGAAAATGTTTGATAGTTTACGTTTTTCGAAACGTATTCCAGTGCCGCAAAGACTTTCACAACTAATAGAACAGGATTACACTTTATTGACACACACATTTAATGATTACTATCCAGCAAATAAAACACAAATCATTACTAACAGCACTAGACGTCTGGATATGCTTCAGATGAGTACTTCAAAATTAACTGCTACTGCTACTTTGGATACTTTGGCTCATTATAATTATAATAATTGGAATACTAGTTCATTGACCTACATCGAGGAAACCATACATTCATTTCCATGTGTCATGTACTTTAGGAAACATTCCATATTACGTTCGAGCATCGATCGAAAGTTAAAGTTATTCTCCGATGCCGGTATTATTTCACACATTGTAAGGAAGCATGTTCGTACCAAGTTCCTGAAGATGAATACCCATTCACAATTTGTAAGCAGATTGGCAAATCAAAATCTAACAGGATTGTATTTAATAAGTGGCGTCATGTTTTTGATTTCAACAGTTGTGTTTATTCTAGAATTGCTTACCCGTAAGTCGCAAAGATTGGAAAAATTTATGGATATGTTAAATTCTTTTTAAGCAGTCTTTAGAAAGGATGAATTCTATATAGAATAATAACTCTTATTACAAATTTAATAAAATAAACAATTCAGCACAACAACAAAAATTAAAGTGTATGCGAAATATTGTATGTGTATTTTAAGAATATTTTATTAAAAATTTAGTTTAAATTTAGATTGTAGCATTGTGTTGAATACGGTTTTATCTCGGTGAGAATTTTTTTTTAATTTTTAATATTCCGATGCCCTCCACCGGGTGCATGTTATATCAACGTAAAGAGGTAGCATCTCTTTTCGCCGGGACTAGCAATACCTCTAGTCTGCCGGGACTATAAACTGGTGATGATCAAATGTATCCTCGGCCTTTCCTTGGAATGATTTAAAAGGGGTTCCAACCAGAGAAGCACATAATCTAGTTGTTTTTGTTGTAGCAGCTGGCTGGGTGGACAATCCTTGGTCGTTGTTCGTTGAACTCCGAGCCGTTCCGGTGCGAAGAATCGATTGTCGTGGGAACGACATAATCTGGTTGGGGTGACCAGTTGACCGCAGGACTTTATCCCGGCTGGTCACTTGATTGAGGTTCCTTCGTGATCCACATAGTTACTGTGGTTTAAACCCTAGAGTGAGTGTGTCGGGAGTTGTTCTCTATATAATGTCGTATGAATGAGTGGTTGTAAACGAAAGTGATGTTTTTGAATCTCGGATGTTAAGCAACGGGGCAGCAATGGTGAGAGATTAGATAGCTCAAGTATTTGAGCAAAGTGCTTGGACATGTTGAAATCAATTTTCTGAAGGTCAAAGATATCCTCGGAACCATAATCATGTAACTCTGGTTTGGTTGTGCATTAATATACTCAATTCTATTTATAATATTGTATAGTAGTGTATCTTATTAGGGATGTAACGAATGTTCACCTGCGCATGTGCGAAAGCGTATTGTTCTCTTAATTCTTTATATTCGCTTTTGCATTCTGTCTGTTCGGCTGGCTGGATTTAATCAAATATGGACTTTACAAGCTTTTGGGCGTTTTAGCTCATAACTACGTAAAATTTAACTGTTGAGGCCCAAGAGACTGACTTTTGTTTAATGTCAGCATTTCTTTAAAAATCGGCACAACATAATTTTATATAAGCAAGTGACACTGCCGATCTCAACGAATGTATGGTCTCCTTTACATAAGTTAAAGTACTGGTATTTGAATTCAAATAATTGTAATAAGCTAAAGAATATAAAAGATCCAATACGGTTAATTGTGAAGTACTTCTTTGCAGTATATCCAGATGATTAGTGTTGTTGAGCATAATTTGTGTTTTTCTTTGTGGATAAAATTCTTTGTACGAAGATTCCAATAAGGTGTAATCCTGCTCTATAAGATGAGAAATGGTTTGTGGTACTGGTTACTGGTACGTGCAAAATTTCGTTTTGGTAATATTTGAGTTGGTATTAAGAGGCCCAAGAAAGTTGCAAACATTGAATATATGGACGTTTTGTTTGTGCACCAAATACAAAATCTCGGATTTGCACTAGTTTTGTCAATATAATTGATACAGAAAATAAAATCAACAAAAATATCCATGCAGACACACATAAAACCACTCCGAACCACAAATACATAAGAAGTGGTGCAATAAACTAAAGAATTGCTGTATTTTTCGCTATTCCATTGAGTTGAGCTGAAACCTCCAATTGCTATTTGGGACCGTTCCATATCCAGCTGAAAGAAAAATTTCAAAAATTTTTATTTAATGAAAGTGGCACTCAATATCTCACTCACATCAAAACAACCGGTTGAAAAATAAAGACAACTAATTTCACTCGTTTCCTTTGGGAAATTTTAACGAATTTTACTATTTAAAGCATCAGAATTTCACCTTCGATACCACCCAAGCGTTTCATCTATATTAAATGTGTTTCATTGTTTACATCACCATCAAAACTTAAAAGAGGTGGCATTTCCTGAGCCGAAACATTTATCAAACAATCGAGATAATCGTTAGTATGATCGCGAAATAAAAATTGGTTCTGTGGAGTTCCATTCTCATAACGATTAATTTCTCGTATAATTTTATTTCCACATTGATCTTGTTTACACAGTTCGTAGGCATAAAAACTGATGTGATTTCCATTATGGACTCTGCTCATTATAACAAAGTTTCGGACTTTATAAATCAAACATGTTTGAAATATTTCATTTAGGATTTCGTTGTGTTCGTCATCATTGTTGGCAATCCAAGTGAGCAAAATATAAAAATTTAATCGTTCTAGCTGGGTAATGGGGAAACTGTAGAGTATATATCTATTTTGGGATATCATTAAGGATTAATGTACTTAATAAGTAAGAAAATCTAACAGAAAGATTACCGTTATCTCTTTTAGGAAGCAATTTTTACATTACCGGCAAGTAGCAGGCCGCAAAAGTTTTATTCTGTAAAGTATATCAAAAACCGTCTTCGTTCCTTAAAGATTTTTTGCAAAGGTCACAGCGGTTTTCCTCTTTAGACGATTTTATTCATTGTAGATGTGTCTATATATTTCACTAGTCTGTGCGAAGAAGGTTTTGATTCATTTCAGAGAAGAAAAGTTTTTCGACCGTTAGAAATGTTTACTGAGCGAAGTCGGATTTCTATACACAGCGACAAACTTACAAAAACGACTCATGGGAATCCACTATAAACATATTATAGTCGTTTAGTCGACCAACGTATTAATCCATAAAGAATACTATTCCGAATTCTTCCTTCAGGCCGAATACAATATTATCTAAAAGTTCTGGCTGATAGTTTTCCTGAGCTTTGCAATCAAATATACAATATTCTCTGATGACAAACGTATCTGTTTTAGGACTTATGAAATGTTTTGTCATATACACAGCCAAGTTGAAGTATTCAATTAATTTTTCATTTGATTTAATTCCATTTAATGGAATTTTATTGCTCATGGTTGGTAGAGACTTAAGAACCATCACCATTATTATACAGTATTTTAACGTAATTTTTGATTCTTTGCAACTCTTCCGTTTTGAATGCAAACTAAAATTTAATTCAATTTTAAAAGATTGTGTTGATATAGTAATGAAATGAAATACATTTAACAAATTTAATTAACGCAATAAATATACATTTGTTTTAAATATTAAATCTTATCAGATGCAAAACATTCTTTATATTTTTAACATTTTAATATACAATGTTTACACAGAATTTTATATATCACACATTGGTACTTTTTAAGGGGAATCGTATATATCATAGGACTGGAATTATGGTCGCCAATCCCGGACATAGACCTGGTCCGGGAATCATTTGTTTAAATTTTTGTTAACTGATGCTAATTCAGTATAGAAAGTTCTGATCCACTTTGGATAATCGACTAGGTCATGAAGTACTTTCGCTTCATAGTGCGTTGTCCATTACCCAAAAAAATTATAAAATCTCTCAATGCAGATCTTGACAAGATCTGGCCTTATTTAACGGTGGTAATTTTCCAGACACTGGGTGAGCTGACTAGACGACTCACTACTGCACTTTTGTGCTTCTTTGTGAGAAGAGTATATATAATTTTGTCGTTGATATAAAATCAGAAAATTCGCTCCATAAATACCAGAAATATGAGCAAAAATATGAGACAACCTCTGAAAATTTCATAAAAAATATAAATTTTTTATTCGTGCTCAGACAGAAACTGTAAACTACAACAACAAAACACATAATGATACGTTTTATTTATTGTAGGATTCTTACTTGTTCTATATAGTTTTGCCGGTCCATTTACAAGCACTTTGCTCAAGTACTCGAACTATCTAATCACTGACCATTGCTGCACAGTTACTTAACTTCCGAGTTGCTAAAACAACGCTTCCGTTTACAACCACGGAGATGGGATGGCCTCTGTTGGGTCGGCAACAGCAGTGGTATTCGGTAGACCAAAACACGTATCTATCAAATATCACTGGTGTAAGATACCTTTCATCCATCACCATTCAACCCAGCACACTTTTCATTCATTCGATACACTCATAGAGAACAACATCCGACACACTCATGCTGTATTAAATATATTTATATACATACATATAATACCAACTCAGTTCCAACACTTAATCCCATAGTCACTCCTCTTCGGCAACAGCACCGAACTTATCCAGAATTATAGATTTCTCTATGTATCAGACTTTTAACAGACATTTTCTTCCCGCGACTTAAACCACAACCACCACGTGCACCCCGAAGGCACCTCTCTAATAACCGGGACAAGTCAAAGCCCGAAACTTTGCCTTGCGGGCTACGGGTTCCCGTGGTACCAAATTATATGGTTCTCTGGTTCCTTCCCATGTAAAATCATTCCAAAAAAAGGCCGAGGATATATTTGATCATTACCAGTTTATAGTCCCGAGAGACTAGCGGTTCTGGTAGTACCTCTTTTTCCCGGTATTGCAATCACAACAAGATGGTAACATGCCCCAAGTGAGAAAAGATCTTGACAATAGAAAGCTAACTATTATCCAAATGTAATACTAACTCACTAACACATCGAAATATTGGTCCTTATTATATTCTAACACGATCTAGCCATGTCAGTCCGTTTGTTGAAAGCACAATTTGTTCTTCACCTCTTTCTACACAAAAAGGTAGAGGGCTGAAATTTTTAACAAAGTGAACCTTTCCACATATTCCCTACACATATGGCTCCCGGAAAACATTTCTAACAGTCATAACTATTTTATAAACTCAAGTATAGCAATGATATTCTACTCTATACAAAAATCATAATCCAAATCTAATCCAAAATTTCCCTTTGCCTCCTTATAAAAGTACATATTCTATTAATTGCTTTCACTTGCATGTTTTTAAACCATTTCAGTAAAAGATTTTACATTTTTTAACAAAGAAAAGTAAAAATGTTTTTATTTCATGTGAATAATTTAGTAAAAATTAAAAATGTTTTAGTGTAAAAAGTATGCAAATATATAATTTCATTTAAAAATTCGACAAAACGCATTTATCTAAATTATTCCAAATTTAACAAATTCATAAGTATCTGCAATCGTCTCGAGTTCTTCGTTAACAATTCCAATAAGAACAGAAAAATTGAAATTTGTATCATTATAAAGTAAATGTAGAACAATCCTCTTAAATTTCCCAGTGTTATACGACTTACATCCTGCGACTGAGTATTCATCATAGATTTAAAATTTGAATGAACGTGTCTCTTGGCAATATGTGCAGTTATTCCCGAATCAGTAAATAATTTTAATTTTTTATCGAAACTATTCTGCAACAATGAATGTTTATTGAAATACATGACACATTGATATGAGTGTATGGTCTCTGCAACAGGTATCAAAGTGGTAATACTACGATTTTGAAATTTATAATAGGCCCAATAGTCCAAAATAACAGCCCCTGTTAAGCGCATTTCACTTGTTTGTATTTGCTGCAGTGTTGAAAATCTATCTAGCCATATGATAGTTTTATTCATGGGATAGAAACTCGTATATATGGGATTCAATAATGTATAGTCCCGGGCAGTAAGTTCCGCTATAGTTTCAGGTACTGGCATGCGTTTTCCTAGTCTTAAACTATCAAACATTTTACCCAAATAACCAGTTCGTATCTCAAGTGCCAATAATAGCCATGACATAAGTATAAATCGGGCAAAATTTCGTGTCGGCATTATTTGATTTGGCATTCCATAACCCAGAAAAGTTATAAACAAATAAAAAGTTGGACTCTTATTTTTGATACCAAATATAAAATCACGCAACTGTGTCATCTTATAACGAATAATTATTTGAATGAGAAACGTGGATACACTGAAGAATATTAATATAATAAACCACGTGGGTCCGTCCAAGGGATTTATTAATTGTTTTATGGGTCCAAAATATATATCGTTACGAACCACAAACTTATAGGGAGTTGTGTGATAAACAATTGATTTGGTTAATAGGTGATGATATTCCAATGTTGAACTCAAACCACCAATGGCTATTTTAGAACGTCTACACTCCAACTGAAAAAATAAACTCATATGAGTTAGAACCATTTAAAAATTTTTAACAAATCTACAACTCTCAGGTAGATGCTTTCGATTCTCCACATAATCGTTTTTTATCGTATTTTATCTGCTCATAATACTTACATCACTAAAACAGCCAGTGGAATTATAACGTAATCCAATCACACTGAAGTTTCGACTAAAACGCATATGAATTTTAAAATTTAATGCCTCTGCAATCAGTTTCAAAATTTCACCCTCTATTCCACCCAAACGTTTCATGTCCATCAAATGAGTTTCATTCTTTAAATCTCCATCAAATGTTATAAATGGCTGTATAAGTTCAGCAGAAATCTTAACGGGACAACCAAACAAATTACTCGCAATTATCGGAAATAATAAATCAAATTTAAGTTGACCATTTTCATAACGATTAACTTCTTGCAACATTATATCTTCAGCACACATATCTGGACTATACAACTCATACGAATAGAAACTAAAATAATTATACAAACGAGATTTCACCATAACAGCGACGTTTTTCACGTTGAATTTTAAACAAATTTTAAAAATTTCTAATAAATTATAATCCAGAAGATATTCAGAACTCCATGTTAATAAAATAAAGAAGTAATAATCACGTTCATGGGCAGAATAGGGAATTGAAAACTTTAACAATCTAAAATTTTAATTAATAATGTTAAAAGATATTTATAACTTGTATGTAATAACTGAAACTCAACTGAAATGTGTCATACGAATCCACCACAAATATATTGTAATCCCAGGGACGATCATCAGTTTCTCCTACAAACAGTTGGACACTAAGGGAATCCTTTAAATTTTCCATTACATTATGTACTAGAGTTGAGTGATACTTTTTCATCTCTTTACAAAGATATTCACATTTTCCTGTTATTATCACTGTATTGGTTTTCGGACTTATATATCGTTTCGTCATTAAAAATGCCACATCTACAAATTCTTTTATGTGTTTTGCCTCATTTAAGTGGCCAACATCTATAATGCAATTGGCTTCAAAACTTAGTACCGACAAAATAATAAAAATATTGCAGAAGTAATAGCAAGTATTAGTACTATTATAGATCAGCATTTTGTAACGATTGTTTTGAAAAACTAGACTGACTTTTCAATTGTTGAAAATTTTAATTTAATTCTAAATGTTACAAAACCATACAATACAAATTATAAACGATTTGCTAATAATCGTTAATTGCAAGCTATTAAGGAATGGCGAAATATTAATTTGATTGGCTTTTTTATTTTTTCTAATTTTTAATTTTTGTAGCCGTTTTTAAACCCTAGAGTTGTAGGTGGCAATCCGGAACTAGCAACCTCACCTACTTCCAGATTTTCGCTAACCAAATAATTGGTTATGTGACCATTTATTTTAACATAGGCTTGTCCTAGAAGGTAGTAAATTGACTCTTTGGGGACAGTAACTACATTTTGTAGAATGCAATTGAACAATTGAACTTTCGGAAATACAATAGAAAAAAAAAAAAACAAGTTTCAATACTACTTACGACCAGTAAAATGACGAATGCCTCTGCCTTGCAATACCAGGGAATGTTTATGTAACGACTGCCTGTGCTCTGCATTACAACGAGAACATTCTGAAAGAATGATCCAACGCATGTAAGATAGAGTCAAATAGATGTGTAGACAAACAATCGTGGTTTCCCTCAATAATTTCGTTGACTATATCTTCCTACAGTCCCCGTGAGAACCAGCCGGTATTTCTAATAAAACCGATCATATTTACTTGTGACATACATATCTCTGAGACAGTTCATATCATGGAAAAGAACGCTTCCTTTAAAGCTAGACTGTGATCTTGTAAGGCTGGACAGTCACGCAAAAGGTGTTGTAACCGATTCCTCTTCTTCCTCATCCAAACACAACTTTTATAGTAGCTATGTATAACATGAGTAGCCCATGTTTAGGTTAGGTTGATAGGAGGATGTATACTACATCAAATCCGAAGAAATACATCTAGGCCACTATTGGGCCTGTTGTACGCTCATTTTCATGAAAAAAATCACTGAATGTATTATTTTTCGATGTTCAGAAACACAGTTTCCTGTACGTAATTCCTAATATACTTGGATCTAAGTTCGATGAATCAGGTCACCCCATAGGATCTTTATGGTTCTACCTACCGTTTCATTATCCAAGAGGCCTTATGGGATTCTCTCACCCATATTTTTAATTCAGCTTTTGTTGCGTCGAATGATTTTGCGTTTGTCAGGTTAACTACCTCGAGCTCACTTCCTTTTAAAGCTATTACATTCGCCCTTTCATTGCCGACTACTCCCGAGTGGCCTGGTACCCATGTGATGCAAACCTTACCTCTGGGAGAATATTCAGTTAAAGCTTTCTTACAATCCAATACGGTCTTAGATTTAATTTTATCACCTGATATAGCCCTAATTGCCTTCTGCCTATCGGTAAATATATTAAGCCCTGTGGCTGCAACATTTTTTTATCCAATTTACACATTCCATTATTGCTCGGACTTCTGCCTGGATGCTTGTGTTATGATTAGGTAAACGGTGGTCTTCAATATAGAATCCCAGCCCCACTTTGCGCCCTAATTTAGAGCCTTCCTTTTAGCAACGGATTCCTACTGGTATTTGCTCTAAAATTCCGTTTGACCAAGACATTCTGTCTGAAATATTCTGTGTCTGGTATGCGATCAGGCACGTCCGATGATTCTGTATAACCTTCCAATGTGTCCAGTATACATTGGTCACGTCTCCTATAACCGCTTTTGACCAGTTCGCCTAAAGTAAAGAGCTGTTCGGCTGTAAACGCCGCCTCATATCTTAAATATGTTTCAATGGGTGGAATATCTAGCAACGTTTCCATAGCTTTGGTTGAAGTAGTACACATGGCATCACTTATACCCAATTAGCATGTACGATGAACTCCCTGTAGTAGTTTGATATTACACTTTTTGTCCAAAGCCGTCCACCGGATTATTGAAGCATAAGCTAGAATTGATCAAATTACACTTCTATAAAGCCAATTTGTCATAGTAGGACTAACACTCCATTTCATGACTATAATGAGTAGCCCATACGTTCCGACATTTGTCAAATCATACAGTGCCCAGTAATTATACCCGTGAGAAGCTTAATCGAATTCTTACTTAAAGTCAAGATAGTCCTAGTCCTATCCTTTGACAGAGTGGACCGGAGCTGTCTCCTTATTCAGTATTCAACAAGTGGTGATATTTGACCACCTGAGTTCCATTTCACTCAAAGCCCAGTCATCTATACATTTTAATAGGCTCACCTTTTGTGCAAGAGTTATGTCTAGGAACTATCCTTTCGTTGCGCATTTATTAGATACTTCATTTCCCGGGATGCCTTATGTCCTGAAACCTATACCAATGTAGAAGCCATTTCGACTTAACGTTGGAGTTAAGAGTCTTGATTGATGCAAGGCTGTCCAAGTATATATGTTTAGTAAAATTTTCGTGATTCAATTCTCCGATTCTTCTCGCGGCTGTATCGATGGTATATATCTCTGCCTGACAGACCGTGTCAAGTAGTCGAAAAGACAACAGAAGATCCAGCTTTTCGAAGAAAATTGCCCATAAACCCATGGGTTTATGGGTTTCTTTCACTGAGTAGCTTTTAAAACAACAACATACATTTTAAAACCCATATATGCCGAAGTGAGTAGAAAAATACCCAGCCCAGCACACTCAGGTATGGCAACAAAAAAAATTAAAAACTGTCACGACAATACAAACATAAATGCCCTAAATAATGTCTGTATGAAATTTGATCAAAATTGGATAGCGGATTCGGGGGTCAGTCGTTAATGAGTTAAATAGCCAAGAAGCTATATTTAAAACTGATACTGACGGATATACATACATGGTTAATAATAAGGTGAAAACACACTCTCATAATCAGAATTTAATTACAATATTTATTGAAAAGTAATATATTTCGAATACATATACCCAATATTAGGTACACCTAAAATCTTTACTTTAGTAATTTTATTATTTATCAATTTAAAGGCTGTAGCTAATATTGAACAAATCAGTTTGTAATAGAATCACTGTTTAAAATGAATTTAACGCATCCATAAATTTTTCCAATCTTTGCGACTTGCGGGTAAGCAATTCCATAATAAACACAACCGTTGAAATCAAAAACATGACACCACTTATAAAGTACAATCCTTTTAGATTCCCATTTGCCAATCTGCTGACAAACTGCGAATTGGTATTCATTTTTAAGAACTTTGAACGAACATGCTTCCTTGCAATGTGTGAAGTAATACCGGCATCGGAGAATATCTTCAATTTTCGATCGATACTCGAACGTAACATGGAATGTTTCCTAAAGTACATGACACATGGAAACGAATGTATAGTTTCCTCGACGTAAGTCAAGGTGCTAGTATTCCAATTCTTATAATTGTAATGAGCCAAAGAATCCAACAGAGCCGTGGAAGTTAATTTCGAAGTACTCATCTGTAGCATATGCATACGTCTAGTGGTATTAGCCATGATTTGTGTTTTATTTGCTGGATAGAAATCATTATATAAATGTGTCAGTAAGGTGTAATCCTGTTTTATGAGTTGAGAAATTGTTTGAGGTATTGGAATACGTTGAGAAAAACGTAAACTGTCAAACATTTTGCCCTGATAACCATTGCGTACTTCGAATGTTAGAAGTAGCCAGGCAGCCATAAGAAATCGAGCAAAATTTCGTCTCGGTATTAAACGCGTTGGTAATGAATTGCCGAAAAAAATTATAAACATTGAACATATTGGGTTTCTATTCTTCGGCCCAAATACAAAGTCATGTACCCTTGGTTTGGTTTGAGTTAATTTACTGAAAATAAATGAGGCTGTAAAGAAAATCAGTAGAAATGTCCATGTTGAGGGGCATAAAGGATTGAGTAGTTGTTTGATTGGACCAAAACATACACCACTGTGAACCACAAATACATATGGAGTAGTATGATAAACGAAAGATTTGCTATACTTGTCGTTGTTCCATTGAGTCGAACTGAAACCTCCTATGGCTATTTGTGAACGTTCTCTATCCAGCTGAAACGACAAATTATGAATTTTTTCTTTGATACATAAAAAAATTATAATTTATATTTAAAAACTCAAACTTACATCTCCAAAACAGCCCTTAGAATCATAAAAATTATTAATTATATTCTCTTCCTTTGGGAAATGTAAACGAATTTTAAAATTTAAAGATTTGGCAATCACTTTCAAAATATCACCTTCAATTCCACTCAAGCGATTGATCTCTAATAGATGTGTTTTATTGTTCACATCGCCATTAAATGTTAAGAGTGGTGGCACTTTATGGGCCGACACATTTAACCGACAACCATGATAATCATTAATATGATCGGGAAATAAAAGTTTATTCTTTAGAGTTCCATTCTCGTAACGATTGATTTCGCGTACCATAATCTTACGACAATTATATTTATTGAAGGCTTCATAAGAGTAGAAACTGATGTGATCTCCATTGAAGGCTTTACACATTACAACCACATTTCTGACGTAAAAACTCAAAGCTGTGCTAAATATATTGTGCAGAGTTTCATTCAGTTCTACTTCATTGTTAGTGTTCCAAGTTAGCAAAATGAAAAAGTTGAAAAAACGCTCCTGCCGTGTGGTGGGTAAGCTATAGCATAAATATCTGCAAAAAATATAAAAATTCTAAAACACATTTGCGCTTTCTGAAAAGAAAACTATTACACTGCAAGTGTAAAAGCAAGTCTTGACAACTTACAGAAATGATTCATACGAGTCCACTATAAATATATTGTAAT